GAGACTTTGGCGTATTCGCGTAGGGTGTGAAGTAGTGGAGGGAGAAATTGTGTTGGGTCAGTAAGAGTTAGGAGGAGGTCGTCTGCGGATCCTGCCACTTTGTATTCCTCCCCTCTTATACGTATGCCTGATATTGTGGGGTCAAGCCTGAGAGCTTGGAAGAGGGGTTCCAGTGAGAGGGCGAATAATAGTGGGGAGAGGGGGCATCCCAGTCTGGTTCCGTTGAAAATGCGGAAGGAGGGGGGCTGTGTGTTAGGGATGAGGAGGCTTGCTTCTGGAGAGGAATACAAAGTTTGGAGCGCGTTGAGAATTGTGTGAGGTACCTGAAATTTGCGGAGGGTAGCGAACAGAAAAGGCCATAGGAGTCAGTCAAAAGCCTTTTCTGCGTCTAGCGAGAGAAAGAGGGCGGGGATGTGTCGGTGTGTCGCGGTCCAAAGGAGGTCGAACGTCCGTCTTGTGTTGTCGTATGCTTGTCTGTGGGGTATGAAACCGACCTGGTCGGGGTGAATGTCTATGTATGTATGGGTTTATCCTATCTGCGAGCAGTTTAGTGAGTAGTTTGACGTCTACATTCAGTAGAGAGATCGGTCTATAGTGGCTTGAGTCCAGGTGAGATTTGCCTGGTTCAGGGAGTAGGCACACGTTGGCTCGGAGCATGTCTGGCGGTAATGGGTTCCCCTGTATCACAGAGTTGAAGAGTGAGCATAGGTGTGGGAGGAGTGTGGTGGGGAAAGTTTTGTAATAAAGACCCGAGAAACCATCGGGTCCGGGGCTTTTATTGGGCTTTGTGTTTTTGATGGCTTTGGCAACCTATTGTGATAGGTTCACTTAGTTTGGCTATGGCTTCTGGTTTCAGGGCCGGTAATAGTATTTTTTGCAGATATGTGTTTATGGACTCTAGCATTATGTCCGGGTGTTGTCTCGCGTCTGGGCTGTGGTCATATAGTGTAGTGAAGTATCTTTGGAAGACCTCTCCTATTTTTGATGGGAGAGAGTGCGTAGTTCCCTCCGGTGTCTGTATTTTGTCTATTCTTTTTTGGTCTGCCCTACGTTTAAGTTTTCTCGCTAGCAAAGTGTCTGCTTTGTTCAATTTTTCTTAGTAAGTTTGTTTTGACCATTGTAATGCCTTGGCCGAGTCCTTGGCCATGAAGTCTTTGATTTGAGTGCGGCAGTCTGTCAGTTTTGCGAGGATGTCGGGGGTGGGATTTTGTTTATGTTCGGCTTCTAGGTTCCTGAGGGCCTCCAGAGATTTTGCTAGTGTCGCTAGTTGGGTTTTCTTATGTGCTGAGGCTAGGCTAATTAATTTCCCCCTGATGACTGCTTTGTGTGCTGCCCAAAGTATTCCCGGGGAGGGTGCCGAGGGTGCGTTAATGGTGAAATATTCTGACGTGTCTTTGTGAATAGTGTCTCTCAGGAGGGGGTTATGAAGCAGAGTCGGGTTCAGTCTCCAGGTCCAGGGGCGCGCTACATTCGGGATTTTTATTGTCAGAGCTATGTCTGCATGATCCGACCATGTTATGTTACCTATGGTGGCCGTGTGGACCATGTGTAGGAGGGAGGGGGGATCAAAAAGAGGTCTATGCGTGAGTAAGAGTTGTGTGGGTGTGAAAAGAATGTAAAGTCATGCGCGGTTGGGTGCAGTGTTCGCCATACATCAACCAATTGTGTTTGAAGGGTGAATGATTGTAGCAGCTTATCTAGTTTGGTTGTGGGGGCTGGGCCTTGTCTGTGTCGGCATGTGCGGTGTCTATCTGCCGCCGGTGACATCGTAGCATTGCAATCACCTCCAATAATTTTGAGGTGGCCTGGAGTCAGTGTCAAGTGGGCCTGTAGTGTGTCCCAGAATAACTTGTCAGGGATGTTCGGTGCATACAGTGTTGTGATGGCATATTTGTTGGGGCCTGCCTGGCCTGTGAGTGTCAGGAACCTGCCCTGGGGGTCTCTTATAACTTGTTTTACGTTTAGGGGACATGTCTTGTGTAGCAGTATGGCTACTCCATTCTGTTTGGTGTTGGGGGAGTTAGCGGTATAGTATTCTCTATAGTGCCGGCTAAGGAGGGGGAACGGTTTGGTCTGGGTGAAGTGAGTTTCTTGTAGAAGTAATATGTCCGCTCCTGTGCGGTTCGCCCACCTCATGAGTCGGTGTCTCTTCGCTGGGTTGTTAAGGCCTTTGCAGTTAATTGAAATGCAGGTGAGTTTGGTAGTCATAACGTCTGGGTGATCTCTCAGGGGGTGTTATTTCCCGGGGTTATTCGTTTGTACTGGGGTGGTGCACCTGGGCTATGGAGTGGGAGAATGTAGGGGGGGCGGGATGGAGCGGGGGGGGTGAAGGCGTGTGTATGTGGTTGTCGTTTCAAGGTTTAAATTCTGGGTCTTTACGCCTCAGTGGGGTTATTTGCGTATGTGGGGATGGGTTGGTCGGGATGTGCCTGGTCTGATACCGAAGTTGCCAGGAGTGTTGGGGACGGAGGTGGAGGGGGTTTGGTTGTCTGTACTTGGTACTGATCCAAACCGGTTCCCTCTATATAACCGCGTGTGAAGCGGTGGGAGCCATTGTAAGTGGTGGTAATGGGGGTGTGTGGGTTGAGTAGGAAGTGTCGAGAGGGGTGTCACTTCTCTCCTCCCGTCACTTCGGAGTGTTGTGTGTTTACCTTTGGTTTTATCTTGTCGTCAGGTTATCCATACCCTTCGGGGAGGGGGAGTCCGCGTGGAATCGCCGTAGAGGGTGGCAGGGCTTCTGTAACGGTATCAATGTAACAGGTGTTATTGTTATTTAGTACTAGTCGGTTAAGGGCCTTTATGTAGTCTGTTCGGTTGGGTCCATTGTCTTCTGGAGCGTACTTTGGGTTGTGGCAGGAATTGGGGTGTATTATGTGGTGCATATCATGGGTCTGGTAGTTATGCGAGCGTAGGTGTCATGTAGTGTCGTTCCCGTGTGTGTGTCCCTTGTTGGGGTCAGGGTTTCTTCCCGCCCCTGCGGGTCTTGGTGTTTTGGTTTGGTGGCCCCAATAACTCCATTGTGGTGGTGTCCCGAGGGTCCCCTGGGAGGGCCTGTTGTCTGCACTATGGGGTCGTGCCTGTGGTGGGGTCTGTTAATAGTCTGTGGGTACACTACATGACACATTTACGAACAACATTTATATTTTCACATATGCAATACACCATTAGTTGCCCGTTTAGAGCTTGTCCAAGGTCCCCTTTACCTCCTTTCTGTATTGTAGGGGAGATATGTATTGTTGGACTTGGGGGGTGGGCAGTATACCCGAGTGTAGGCTATATGCAAAACGCCGTAATTGAGGTTGAGGGTGCTTTCTAGCGAAGTGGGTTGTGGGAGCATCAGGTAGGGTTCTCTGGGTCGTATATGTTTAGATCCATTTTAGCAATCCTGCATTGTTGGGTGTAGTGTCCCCATGAGAGGGTGTAACCTGCAATGCATCCTGCCACTTCCGAGAAGAGCACATTGGGGATGTCTTGTCACTATGGGGTTAGAGATGCGCAGGCTTATAGTGGTGTTATGAGGCAGAGAATCATATAGTATTCTGGGTCTCGGGAGAATATATATATTTTTTTTATATGCCATTGCCTCGAGACTGCCAGTGTGTCACCCCTGTTAGTGGCAATAAGTGTTGATGTTCAATGGGTGTCTGTGTGTGTTCTGCCATGTTGTTGTGGCGCCTTAGGTAAAGGTGGAGGTTGCCTTTACTGGGTTGTATGTGGCTGTTCTGTAGCCCTGTTGACGTACATTGGGGTTTTTGGAGCAATAAAATACTTTGGGTCTGGAGGGCGTCCGACTTTGTCCCAGTGTCTGGACCTACTGAACTGTACTAATTATTCATCATACAAACAGTTTATATTCATAACTTATTTACATCTGTTTAAACACCTTCGGTGTAACCTACACTCTGGACTTTACCGCACATAAGATCCCTTTGATGTGCGATTTATGTATATATATATATAATGCAACTCTAATTTTGGTTAATGTGAACTGGTGCACCTAAGTAATAGAGATAAGTGTAGTGTCTGAAAGGTAGGCGTGTACTGGTAAGAGGGGGGGTGCCCTGGTTTTCAGCATTGGTGGTCCGTTATCAGCGGTGCTAGGTGGACCCTGCAGCTTCACTCCTTGGCCCCAGTACACAACTAAAGTACCGTAAAACATTTAATGCATGCGAAAACATTACGTGGCATGTGGTGATATAGAAAATAAACATATAGAACCTGTCCCGGCAGCTAGCATGCCTCCCTGCATGGGAAACCTGTTATCCGCAGATACAATGGTCATCAGGTAGCTATTGGGTCAGTATGCTCAGCCTGTGGCGGGGGTCGCTTCTTGGCTTGGCTTCGGGATGGTTGCGCTGCTTTGTGGGTTATTCCGGTCGGCTGCCTGCGTCCCGGTGAAGAGCTGGAGGCCCAGGGCTGTGGCAAAGTCCTCCATTTCCACAGGGTGATGCAGGACTGGTCTTGGTCGCCAAGGCGCAATTGTAGTTTAAAATGGTGGCCCCATCTATATTTCACACCCTTTTTGGTTAAGGCCATCGTCAAGGGTTTCAGGTCCCTCCTTTTCTTTAGGGTGGATGGTGCAAGATCCTGAAAAAAAGCCAATGTGAAGGCTCCATATTTTGGCGGTGAGGCCCTGGTGGCAGTCATTATTTTTTCTTCTGTGGCGAAGTGCTGCATGCGAACTATAATGTCCCTAGGTGAGGTGGGGTTGAGTGCTAGGGATCTCAGTGCCCTGTGGGCCCGTTCTATGTCGCATTCCTGTTCTGTGGAGTCCGGGAGTATTGTGTGAAAGAGGTCGCGGAGCATGGGCAAAATGGCGTCAGCATCCACTGCTTCCGGTAGGCCTCTTATTCTGATATTGTTTCTGCGAGAACGGTCGTTTAGGTCTTCTAAGCTGTCTTCCAAATATTGTATTTTGTCGCTTAGGTAGTAGATGTCTTGCCCATGTTGGGATGAGGTTGATTGAAGCAGTGTGATGTCTGATTCTGCCTGCGCGGCACGAGTGTTGAGGGCCTCGAGGTCCTCCTTAATACCCGAGATGTGCCGCTCTGGTTCTGCAGCTGTGTGGGCCTTGATATCAGCTGTGGCTTCTTTGAGCATGTTGTGGAGGTCTGCCTTCGTGAGGGGGTCTTGCCTCCTGTCCGTGGCCTCATCGTTGTCGGATTCCGAGCCTGAGTCGTGAGAATTTAGTGCTTCCTGGCTCAAAGATGGCCGCGATAGTTCTCTGGCGGTGCGGAACATCGAGGCCACTGAGGTTGGTTGTTCCTTCCTTTTTTTGGTACCCCCCATCTGTATTTCTGATGGGTGGCTGTGTAGGTATCGGGTAACCTGTTTGTAAGGCTGGATGCCTGGGGGATGCTGCTGATGTAGGCTGATTGTCACTCCTGGACAGGAGAGCTCAAGCTTTACACGTCCTGCGCCATTGGTGTCCAGGCTCCACCCCCAGGGAGTGCCTACCATCTTTAAAACCTTCTTTATGTATGATGGCATAACATGCCTTAACACTCAGAATAAATCTGTTTATCCTTTTTTATTATTTTTTTACTCTTCCTAGTAGCAATAAAGAAGCATAATAAGGGGTAGGGGAGGGAAACTGCTATACTAATAAATAAAAAGACATAAACTACACGTTTGTTCAAACAGACTCATCTCAAAGGTGTACATATGATATAGAACAGAGAATAATCCCCTGTAAAAGAAAAAAATACCGCCACTCCATGCTGAGAAAGTGCCAAGACAGGCACATCAAGGCAGACCTCTTAGGTGTGTCCTACACTAACAATTCAGCTTGCTTACTTCAGGCATCTAATGGCCATTGGAGTGAAACTAAAAATCTACATTTTTCTAATATGCATAGGGATTTGTGATAGCGCACAAGTAACTTTTTTTCTTTGGCTTTATTGTAGGTATTTGGGCTCATGTGTACTATGGTCATTACTGCCGCTCAGAAGTAGTAGAAGTCTGAGCGCAGGACTTATTTTTGTGTATAAGCTGGATATAAAGCAATTTATTTATGGCTACATATAGCAAACACAAATACAACTACAATCTCAAATTACTTAAATAATTTATATATTTTATATACACAAGGTTGAATTAAGAGCCCTTTGGATCTGGTGCTGACAATTATGATGGGCCTAATTACAGAATCTTATTGACCGTAAAATAATTATACACTGCAATATTTACAACTCCCAAGTGTCTTGTATCTGGTGGAGATGGTATCGGAGGGAAACTCACAGGATGCAGTTATATGAATAAGCATACCCTATGCAAAATAAGCATCTCTCTCTGCAAAATTCAAACCCCCCCACACCTGACATTGTCACTTTGAAGTGAGCTGTCGGTGGATGCGGTAATAGGAAATGGGCTAGTTACTTGAATCACATCACCACCCAAAGAAAGGTGCAGGTCTGCCCGAAGAAATGGAATGTCAGCCTGGCATGTCAGGCTGCCTGCCAATCACACAGGCACACAGCGATGTCTCAGCACCCTGAGCTTGGCTCGAACGTGTGAAATGATGCACTCACTCTAATATTTCTGGGGAAAGTTCAGCGCTCACTTGCCCACTCTTTCCCTTCTTACTAGCAATCAGTATCTCCTGGTAAGCAGTCTTGGATAGAGAGAAAAGTGCATGTAGTGAGTGTATAAGGGGACATGCCATACTGTTAGAGAGACTGAAGCAGCAAGAATATTTGCACAGTCAACTTTACCTTAACTAATTTATGGTCAGCCAGACCACACAAGTTTTGTTCCTCTACATCAGGGGTCCTCAAACTACGGCACGTGGGCCGGATCCGGCCAACCAGGTTCCTGAACCTGGACCCAGCATTTAGGGCCACCCAATAAGCCCTATATCTTTAGGGGCCCGGTCAGCACTGCGGCTGTGCAATAGCGCGACCGGGCCCCTTTAAAAAATTGCAGCCACAAGTAGTGCTGGGAGGAAGGGACGGTCACTTCCTCCCAGCATCCTCCACGCAGGAAGGAAGAGACACAGGCCGCGAGGACGGAAGAGCCACGCCAACTCCCATCAGCCACAGCCACCCTCCTGTAAAAAAAAGTAAGAAAAATTAGCTGTATGTATGTGTTTGTATATATGTCAGCATGTATGTCAGTATGTGTCTGTCTGTGTGTATGTATTTCAGTATGTCATTATGTATGTATGTGTGTATGTATCTAGCTATCTGTATGTATGTCAGTATGTGTCTGTCTGTATGTATGTAACTATATGTATGTATGTCTGTGTGTATGTATATGTGTGTCTGTATGTATATATATATGTATGTCAGTATGTGTGTGTATGTATGTATGTGTCTGTCTGTATGTATATCTGTGTGTATGTATGTATGTCAGTATGTGTATGTATCTGTATGTGTCATGCTCCTGAGCAGGTCAGAGAGGAGATGATTGCAAGGGTTATTGGTTAAAACTTTATTTGTCATATTAGACATAACAAATTTACTGAAAATAAAGAATAAAAGGGCAGTCTGCCACAAACAGGATACTTTGTGAGAAAAAACAGGGTTTAGGCGATATGCCACAAACAAGATCTTTAGAAAGTAAATGAATAAGACAATACAGGATCATGGAGAGTTGCAGAGGTTGAAACAGGTATATTCCAAAATAATATAATGCAGGTTGCTTACGAGATCATGCAGTGATGCAGCAATTGAAGCAGTTAAGATTCTTCAATGAAGGCAATACGCTACAAATCAGGATTCTTGGAAGCTGATAAGGAAAGTCTTTTGGTAAGATGTAATTCAGGCAAGTTCAGGATGAAGTAATGCAGGTTAGTGCCTTTCAGTATGTGGAAATGTAGATAAGTACAGGATGAGGCACTGCGGGTAAGTTCTCTACAGAATGGAATAATGTAGATAAAATACAGGCTATTACCAGGAACAGAGATTCTTTAACAGAGCATAGACTTCAATGTCAAGGCACTGTTGTGTGCTGGGAGTAGACTTATCAGCCCTCCTAATTAGCTAATCCAGGTGAGGTTATTACGGTGAGTGAATAGATTAGTGGCTAGGGAGGCCACTAGAGGAGAAAATCATGAAGTTCACTTAAAGGGCCAGTAATAAACGAAAAAGTCTTACATGTCAGTTTTGAAACCTGACAGTATGTATGTACGTCAGTATGTGTATGTATGTATTTCAGTATGTATGTATGTATGTATGTATGTATCTGTATATATGTGTATGTTTTTAAAACTTACCCAGCCCAAAAAATCACCCAGAGCTCCATCAGCTGTTCCACTGCCCTTTGCAACAGGTAACCTTCTAAAAGACCGTTTCCCTTCCACCCTACCCCAAGCTTATTTCCTCATATATAGATAGTCCCCCAAACAACTTTCATTTTCCTGAAATGACAGGGGCAAACACTGATCAGCACATCCTTCCAATCTCTTAACCCTATAGAATACCCTGTCCCCCTATAAATAGCTATATATCACACACCAATATTATATACTTTTATTTATTTTTTAATTTTTATTTTTCACTATTTGTGTTCCATTTTGATCTACACACCTCATACCCCTAACATGAATCCAAATAGGACCATACTGTTATTCTTAATAATCCTTTTCTCACTCCAATTTTGTTCACATCACTAACGCCAAAAGCACACACCTCAAACTGGAAAACAAATTATCCTACACCATGGCCAGCTCTGTTGCTGTAACTTATCTGCTGAGTGCTGGTGAAGAGTTATAAAAAATAGCCCTCCTACCCCCACTTCACAAAATTAAAAAAGTATCCCATTCACTATGTAACGGCACCCCCAGGCATAAAAGGGGTTAAACGCCATTTAGAGGATATTCCCCTTCCAGATACACAGGCAGCTACCAAAGACACCAATCTGCCGAACAGGAAACCATATGAATGCCGTAAACAGCTGAACTGGAACCATACGAATGCTGTACACAGCCGAATAGGAAAAACCATACGAATAGCTTTACGCTCCTAGCAGTCAAACTGGAACAGCATACAATAAATCCCCCCAAGAACGAGACAAGGATCCATTTTGAGGGTCAAGCAGGAACAGACTGAGCTGTGTCTTTATTGGCCTTATATACACATTTTACAGACAAAGTCCCACCCCCAGGGTTTTGTGGAACATCCAATCAAAACATACAACACAGATAAACACTCCCACAATGACATCACAATCCCTCCTCTCTATCCTGGAGATAATTGGGAAGTAATCCAATTATCTCCAAGGACAGAGGCAAAACTCCATTAAGCACATGGCAGTAAAAAGACAGTAAAATACAATAAAATACACAAGGTTACATTTATTACATAAAATGCAGACATGCAACATATCCCTAGATAGCTTAGGTCTGAGCGCATATTATTACTGAATGGCGCTCAGACCATACACATACAGTTCAATTGCCATGGAGCCATGAATGAACTGGCCATGTGTGAACTGCAGACTGCTGCCATCCAGTGTTCAGTATGTGTAGCCGCGGCCACCCGGTATAGTCAGTTAACCACGGCTTCTGGGTGGTCTTGGCGGTGCCTGTAAGCTAACCGCGGCTCTTGGGAGGCCAATAGACGGCTGTTTGTTCGGTAGATAGAATCCGGGCAGAAATACATGAATAGACCTTTCTGCATAGGAAAATAAAGTATTTAAATGCCGGTCCATAGTCAAAAGGCAGCAGGCAGGCAACCAGGCTCCTCCAATGCACGGTGGCAAGATTGGTCTCGTCACACACTATATGGCCAAACAAAAATCATATCCAAATTCCTGTTCCTTATGTTACTTGCCCTTGCAAATGATGTGGAGTCTAACCCTGGCCCCCCAGCTAATTCTAGTCCTATTCTCCCCACTAAAAAAAGTCCTCTCTTTTGTGCATTGCAACATCCGTAGCTTGCTCCCTAAACTGGATGCACTACAAGCCTGGTGTTCCATTACAAATTAAAAATCATTGTGCTCTCGGAATCATGGTTAACGACTAAAATACCAGATTCTGCTCTCTGTAACCTCCTCCTTTGGCCTCACGCAGTTGTCGACTTCAGCAACTCATAAAGCAGGAAACACTCTTGACCTCATCTTCACCAATCTCTGTACCACCTCTAATCTCTCCACCGTTCCATTTACTTTGTCTGACCACTATCTACTAAGATTTGACATCAGCATACCCCGTACCAAAATTTAACCACCCTCAACTCTCCAATCTCTCAGAAACCTCAACTGCCTTGATCTCCAGCAGTTTTTCACCAAACCCAATACTC